GATTCTGGATATTGCATACAAACCCTAATCTCTATCATGGCATATTTGAAAGCTATAAATGCGTAAAGGTAAATCTACAACTATTACAATATTGATATGGGGAGGGGGATACAATTTTGAATAGGGGATTATTTGCAAGAAATTAAAACCATAAGATTATTACAACTAAATTGAATTCTTTGTTCAAATAATAAAAAAAAATATTTAAATGGACCATTAAATAAATATGCAAAAAATGTTTTTTGTATTATTTTTATGTATGTAAAAATAAAATATTTAATGTTTCAAAAATAAGAAAAATATTATTTTGATTAAGGGTGGAAACCCTAATTTGTTTTAAGAAAGTATATATATATTATGTATTGTTTATTTATGTACAATAAAATAAAAATATATACAAATGTCAAAAAATAAAAATATGTTAGAAAAATATTATTTAAGTATATAAATAATAAAAATAAATAAATATAATATTTTTTGTGTTATTTACAAGTTTTTATTAAAGAAAATAAAAGTATGTTATAAAAGTAATTATTTCTATGTTAGAAAAAATAATAAAAATAATAAAATAAAATATGAAAATTTATGAAAAATATTTTTAATAATTTTTCATGTTTAGAAAAATAAAATAAAATCAGAAACTAAAAAAAGAAATGAAAAATATGAAAATATAAAATCAATGGGCCAAGGGGGGTGAAAAAATCACAAAGGGGGTGTCAAAAGCATGGAACAACACAGGCCCAACCCACTTGCTTCATCTTCAACCTTGTGACAAACAAAAACGCGCGCTTGATGTTTAAATCTGGAAATCCTGCATACGTGCTCTAAAGCAAAAACTCACAACACAAAAGTTATAGCATTTTCCAACACGATTCCAACCATGTAAAGAACTTAATCTAACTCTCAAAGACCAGAGAGAATTTCTCTGGCCCTAATTTCTAACCTAACTTTTTCAGAAAGTTTATCAATCAAATTCTTCCAACTCAGTTGACTTAAATAAAATATATGCATATATACAGCTTAAGGGCAATGAGTACTACATTTTTTATTCACAAACCTAAGCTTAATGATTCCTAAATAGAGAGATAGAAAGTTGGAAAATACCTGCTTCAGTTGAACACGAGTATGGCAATGTAGGGATTTTCAGTGAGGCCTGAGATGCTTGTGAGCTTGTCTGAACTTCCTCTGACCTTCCCTAATGCTTAGTTGGCTTTGTACTTGCTTGAATAAGCTTGTAGAAGTCAACCTGCACAAACAGAATTCAGAAATGGTGAAGGGTGTAAATGGAGTTACAGTCACTGGCCAATGGTTGGGAGAGCTTAGGTGGGTTGTATGGAGTGTGTTGGAACAGGTTTGGGGCAAAACGCACGAGTGGTTTGTGAGATGGAGGTGAAACTGCAGAAGCTGCCCTGTTTTGCAAGAAGATGGTGTTTTGGTGTTTTGGAAGGCTTGAGAAGTGGTTAGCTCGTGCTTCTGACTTAAGGCAATATGCAAAACTTGTTTTGAATGGTTACAAGAGTTGATTTTATCAGATACAAGAGTTCTCTTTGTTTTTGCAAGTTGACTTGGCTTTTAATAAAAGTGTGAAATGACAATACAAAGGGCTGTACCATCTAGCTTAGGGTCTGCCAAGAGTTGGTATACTTTTCCCTATCTTTTTGGACTTTGTTTGCTGTGAAATAATGGTCTAATGCTCAAGAGAAACAAAAATGCCTAAAGTTGTGCTTTATGAAAATAGCATTGTTGCCTTTTTGCCAAAAATGGATTAAACCCTTATGTAAACTTCCATTGATCAGAATAATGCCTTAAACCATTGAGTATGCATTCAATTTTTGAGTGTTGAAGGGTTTAAAGACCTGTGAGCAAGTACAAGTAAGGTTGGATAGAATTTGCAATTTGTAGCAACATGAAAAATGCCATGGATCAAAGTAACTTTTTTCCAAATTCAAACCTTCGATTCTCCCTAACCATAAATGATTTTGGAGAGTTCTTGGACATTTTGGAAATATTGTAACATGCTATACAATCCATCTTTGAAATGTATTTTGAAATTCCAATTTAAACTAGGTGAAAAATTGCCATGAAGATAGGTCAAAATCCTGCCTAAACTAGGGCAAAATTTCACTAAGTTAAAAGTTTCATGGACCCTTATTCCAAAAATCATAACTTGAGATCCAAGCATCTTTTGGGAAAACTTTGTGAATAAAAGTTGTATATTTTTGGGAGGACTACAACTTTCATGTTGGAAGTTTTGCTTTAATCCAATTGCATCATGGTGAAAATGTTAGGAAAAGTTGGGGGAAAAATAAGAAAATTTCATAACTTAGAAAAATTCTAAGTTATGAAATTTTTCAATCTTAAACCCTAATATGCAAAATTAGGTTTCTTGGTGAACAAGTTTCATGTTTTGACACATCTTGATGAAAAATGACCCTTGGCACTTGATTTTGACCAAAAAGTCAAAGTTTGACTTTTCAGTGTATAGTTGATTTTTGATCAGTTGACTGGAAAATTCATCTGTCAATCCAATGCTTTTGAGATCTTTTGAACCTTGTGATTAGGTAAAGATGATGCCATTGAGTCCTTGAATACATACTTGAACCCAATTTTCCATTGGCTAGGTTAAAAATCAGAAATTGCCCTTATATAGTCAAAACCCTAAAAATGACCATTTTGCCCTTTTGATGATCTGATCAAATTTCTTGAGGAGTTGTGGTTCAAACTTGATCAAATGGTTCATATGAGTTTATATTGTTGATATGGATCAAAAATCATGAGTTTTGGCTGTAAATTAGCCATAGTTGACTTTTTCCCCAATACAACTGATTTTTAGGTCAACTGTCCAATTGACTGGGCAAAAATTTGATTCAAGGCTTGAAACTTGGTATGAGCAATCTTATAAGTCCAACATGAAGTATGAAAGTCACATGGGGCATTATAAGCCCAAAATTCCTTGTGCAAACTCAAACCCTAATTTCAGGTTATCAGTGCAAGGAGATGTCTTGAGCAGAGCAAACCTTGATCCTGTCTGGAGTCCAAAGAGTCTTGTGGGGGGAATCTTGAAAAAATGAGAGGGCAAATTTTTGGGTACAACAGGTGGCAACTCTCATTTCAAACCGGTTACAAAAATAATGCTCGATTTTTGTTTCAACTTGCATGTATTTGAATCATGAACCATATATAACTCTGGGTCAAAAAGTCAAAGGGAATTCTATCAACACTTGAAACTAATTAATATCCCCTATGATTCCACAAAATGAATTCAAAATACTCTTGAGTCCATGCTTATATCCTCTACAACTTCGTTAGCCACCAAAACTCCATCAAGCAATTATCTACTTGGAATAAAAGCACTTTAACAAGGAGAAATAATGGAATTCAACACTCTTTTTAATATCCCCGCCAAAAGTTTTACAATCACTTTATACGTAAAACTAACCAAACAAATCAGTCTATAGTCGTCCAAAGACACCAGGTTTGGAGATTTAGGAACCAAAGTCAAGAAAGACGAAGTCATCGCCTTAGACATTACACCACCAGAATGAAAGCAATTGAGGAAACGAATGAAATTATATTTAAGAAAAAACCAACATTTCTTGATGAACATAAAAGAGTACCCATCTGGACCTAGACTTTTAGAACTCACACAACCCTAAATGGTTTCCTTTATCTCTTATTCTTGAAAAGGATTTTCAAGAGATAAACTATCCTCCATACTAATACTTTTAAAAGTAATCCCTTCCAAAGTCAATATCTCCCTCTCCGACTCTATAAACTTAATCGGAAAATGATTTTGAACCTCCTCCTTAACCTCCACTACCGACTCCAACATACCCTCCAGAAGTATTAATGGGGCCTATATGGTTATGTCTTATCCTTTCCTTCCTCGCCTTGTGAAAGAAGCAACTATTAGAATCTCCTCCGTTAAGCCATTTAAATCTCGATTTTTGAATCAACATATTTTCTTTTATCCTCAAATTCAACCAAAATCAACTAGTCTCCTCCTTCCTCTTACTTATAATATTCTGGTGCAAATCTTTTATCTCAACTTCCAACAATCATCTCCAAAATTCATGGCCTGCACACTATCCTCCACCTCTAAATCTACATTTCCAAACACCACCTTATTCCACCACTTTAGTCTTTCTTTAAGAATTCTTAACTTTTCTTTAAAAATGAAATATCCCGTTCATTCCACCCTAATCTTCTTCCACTCCCTCTCCACAAAAGGGATAAAAGAATTGAAACAGAACCACTCATTATTGAACTTAAAAGGTTTGGGACCCCAATCAACATTATCCAACACTATCCAAACGGGACAATGATCCGAAATGTCTCTAGGACCAATGAGTTGACCAACCACACCCCATTTATTCACTACCATATTCGACAAAATGAATCGATCAATTCTACTCATTGACTTCCCATCTCCACTACACCAAGAAAATTTCTTTCCTTTACAAGGAATATCCACCAACCTACTTTTCTCAATAAATTCCGCAAAAAGATCCATTTCGTTATTATTCACACTTAACATTCTTCCTTTACCTTCTATTTGATTCTTGATTGCATTAAAATCACATCCAATAATCCAGTCACCGTCCCTATATTCCTCCTTTAACTCCAAAAACATACCCCACAATATTTTCTTTTTTCTAATATCACAAGGCGAATAAACATTAATCAAGTAATAGAAATGATTCTTCCATAAGACTTTTATCCCCAAGTACCCCCCCCCCCCCCCCCCTTGAAACTACTTAACATTTCCACCTTACCTTCCTTCCACATGATTATTATACCTCCGGACATACCCCTAGAATTAGAATAAGAGTATCCAATCTCGGAATTACTCCAAAAACTTTTAGCACAAAACTCATGCATACCAGATAACTTTGTTTCTTGAATAATGAAAACATTCGCATCACCCTTTTTAATCAAAGAACTAATTCTTCTCCTTTTAAAAGCGTCACCTCCCCCTCTAATATTCATAGGTTCAATAATCATTCCAAACTAGATGAGTTTGCCTTCCCTACAACCTTCCTTTTCTTATCCGCTCTCTCCAATTCCTCTATTCTATTAACATAATTCTTCTTTCCTTCCAAATCCACCACACCCAATGCCGCTATCGCTAACCACAATCTATTACCAACATTGTTATCCAAATAATCCCACTGTTTGACGTTATTCCTACAAATATCTGAGTTTTCATTTTGATCCCCATATATAACCGAGACACTCCTACAAATTTGACCAGCCGACGTAGAAAGATTAGGAGAAAAGGTTTCATTAGCATTCACATCCTTATGAACTAACAAAGATTGCACATTACCCTTAGACTTCGACTTGTAAGACGATTTCCCCTTCCTTTTAGTACTCTTCGAATACCCGTAATTTCTCTTGTTAATAAAGCCTCCAAAATCCAACATGTTTTTGAATTTTACCTTCTTCAAACGATTACTTTTTTGCGAAGCTAACAAACATTTAACAGCAGAAAAATTCTTCCTGGAAGGTGGAGAAAACTGATCGCACGGGACACTAGTATTCTGGATAGAGGAATCCAAATTCTTAACTTTGTGAATTGCCTTGTCAAAAGTGTCAGCCAAACCAACCCCATCTGGAACATTAAGAATGCCAGACGAAAGAGAATCATTTTCTTTTTCTTTATTCCCACAGTCCCCTGAACACTTCCTCTTTAGACCACCAACCAGTTATCAACAACCTTAGTTTTCCTTTGAAGAGATAATTCTTTGATGCTATTTCACGATTCCTCCCCCTCACCATTTGCATTCACTCCATTAAAGTAATTTGACCAAACACTGATCAAGTTCGAAGAAGCAGAAGAAGTCTCAGATACAATAATTTAAGTTTTAGAGTTACCAGTGACGATGCATTGTGGACCAAATGATTCTTCTCTGAGCAGCAAGTTGAAATCCTTCCCATCTATTTCCACAGTAAGAGATTCCTTTAACTTGAATGATAGATTAACGATAACCAACAATATGGCAATGTCATAGTCGGTTCCTTTAGAAGTATTATCATCCACACAGACAAAAGAGCCAAGAGAACTCGCCAAGGAAACGAAAAAATCATCGTTCCAAGCATGACACAGGACACCATATACTCAAATCCATATTACTCTTCAGTTATCAACCTCCTCCTCATTCCATCTCCTCACCTCCACAAACCAATGCTTCCACCATGTTTCCCCTCCTCCGATTAAATCTTCGATTACTCCTTCCTCTGATTCCTCTAACAAACATAAATTCACTCCTAACGGAGTGACCTTAATCGCAAAATAGCCTTCCATCTCAAAATTTGTTTGGATATTGTATGTAGACCCCAGAATGATAACCTGATCCACATAAGCTTTTGACAATCTCAAATTGTCTTCCTCCTTAGAAGAGTACTTCAAGTTACTCCTCTCTACCTGGACATCCTTCGCCTGATTGTTTGCAACCACTTCCGCAAAAGACTTAGCACCCCTCAACGGATTGAAATTCACCATGTTCTGATGTTGAAAACCCTAACGGACTAACTGGTTCTGAGTAACACGCTCCTTGGTCCCACCGAAACGACCCACCGCTTCCTTACCACCGTACCTCTCATACCTTGGAAGATTTGCGAGAATCTTCTTCCCCATAATGAGAACATTATCTAGTTTAACTGTCAACGATCTTGCGTCCTCCACTTCGATGAATCTTGTGAAGCCGGATTTTTTTTCGATGTTGTTCCTCCTGGGTGCGATTGCCACCTCCACTACCTCCCCGATACAACCGAAGAGTTCGAAAAAATCCTTCGCCTTACTACTTTCTGGGAACTCCGAAAAATAGATCCACATGACAATGTTGTCTTCCTTTCCCTCCGATCTCCTACCTACCAGAAAGATAGTGGGGGACCCAATTCCTGAAAGCCCTATTCTTCATCTCCCTCCACCCCTCTTCACAGTGAGGAATACCACCCACCGTTCATGGAGGAATTGTCGAACCCTATGCCCCTTTTTTAGAGAGAAGGTAGAGAGTAGAGAACATAAAGAGAGAAACATTTTTTGTTCGTGAATTTAAAATGAGTCGAGTGTGAACTTGAAAAAGGTTTATATTAAACTCGAGTCGAATTAAAAGTTTAACCAATTTTTATTGAATCGAAACAAACTGAAATGAGTTTGACTCGACTCATTTTTAACCCTACTAACAAATAATTAAAAAACTTGTATAAAATAAAAACACTCTAAATTTAAAAAGATAAATTCAATATTTTTTTATATTTTGTATGGATGAAGGAATTAGTGATACGAGTTAAAATCTTTTTTTAGTTTTGACAAAACAAAAAGACATAAGCAACGTTATTATAAATATAGATACATACTTATCTATGGGCCTATTTTGCAATAAACTTTTAAATAACTTACACGGCTTTTTAAAATAATCCATTATTAAGTAATGAAATCTTGGTAGTCTGACTTTTGGTGTTCGGGAGATATGCAAGATATGATTGATTATTTAAATTCACTATGCTATATTTGAATTTTAAGAATTTCATTTTCAGAACATTTTAATAAAAAACGTTCTTAACAAATCACTGAAGATAAATGAGGGTGTTTTATTTAGGATTAAATATGTTTCTAGTTCATGTAAATAATTCAAAATTTGATTTAATCTCTAAGAGGAGTTTGAAACCGGTTGATTAAACCTAAAACTGAAGTTGGAGAACATCCTGTTACAACCAAGTCATTTGTGACAATGTATGTTCTTGCTCCCTTAACATAATTTTTAACAATACTTTCAACCCAAACTGATTTCTTATCCATTGATTCGCAAAAATAATTTGCAACACCAGTATTTTCACAGGTTATATAATAATCATCATGACATAAAACAAAGAATGTGGCTGACGAATTGGTAAAATCTGCTTGCTTAGTCGAAAAATGAGGGGCCAAATGAGGATCAACAATCCTATTCTTAGCCTCTTTTGCCATAAAATACATGTTTTCATCCAAAGCCATTATGCTAGCGTATAAATCATCAATACATTCTAGAGCACAATTTGCTCCAAACATACGTGCAACTCCTCCCAAAGGAAATGCGAGAAAATTTAAAAGAAAGTCTGCAAAATCATGACCCCTTTGAGCATATAATATCTTCGCATCTGTTTTTCTTATAACAAGCTTCTATGTGATTTGAATATCATTAGTGATTTCAACACCACAAGAAAAAATATTTGATACCCATCCAAGGGTTGGTTTGATCATTCCCAAAAACAAATATGTAAGAGTAGACTTAGAAACCAATGAACACTTCAGCAGATCAAGTACTTGAATAGAACATAGAGTACTAATCAATCAAAAATGAAAATATGGAGGAAATTAATAACAAAAAGGGTGAGTGTAGCAAATAAGTAAGCAGTATTAAAGAAGAAATAAAAGTTCTATATTGACTGAAACTTTGTTAATTGTTTCGAGCATTATACATAAGTCTGTACCCTTTTTGTTTATAAGTAAAATCATCTACTGGAAATTAAAGTTGGAACCTCAATTTTAGCTGTTGCATATTTCGAATATGATTCAATCGTGGCTGTAATACGCTATCATGGTGCCCTGCGAAACTTCATTCCTTTAAGACATTTCGTCAAATAGTTCACGTTCACGTGTAAACCAAGATAGTTTTTAAGTTATTTCACGGAGGTTTGTAACCCCCGCAAGATAACTCATATGTTGCATTTTAACTTTAAGTTAAGTGGCCTGTAACATGGCATGCCACATTAGCACACCGTTAGACCAAATTAAAGACAGAGACCAAAAATAGGGACGGAAAATTTTAAAAAGACCATTCTTTAAAGGAAAATTTTATAGAGACTAAAATCAAATTTTGGATTATTTAACCACAAACATGCTCTAAATATTTTATTAAACAACTAGTCGATAATCCGTGCTGTCGCACGGGGCCGGTCGAGAATTCATAAAACGTGGAATTAATGTTGTCATGTAACAGTAAAATCGTTTTTATGAAATTCAATAAAAGTTCATCTAATTCGGCCAAATTTAGTGTATCAAACTTATTTGACAACATTAAAAAATGTAAACTGAAATCATGATTGTGTAACAATATAAGAAACTGTGATGACTCTTCAAAATAAGAAACTATCATGAGTCTTCATATACTTATTTTAAAAAAAAAATCTATAAAAAATCTATTTATTGTTTTTTTAGAAATAAAAAGACGTTTATTAACGTGTGAATTTTTTAAATCAATGGAAAAAAGAGAGCAGTTTTGACCAAAAATATCTTTTATTTTTTTCTAAAAAAAGTGTTTTTGACGAATAACTTTTGATTTTTTTTTTTCAAAATATTTTTCTTAGACTACTCGTATTTGTAGATTTAGAAAGATACAGAGTTGCGGAAAAAATGGTTGAACGATTTTCGATTATTATTAAAGTCGTCTTTGAGAGTGTGCAATACTATCGCACAAAAATCAAAATTTAACACAGTTAAATCGTACTTAAATGAGACCTCATAAATATTTGTCAATATCAAACCTTAGAAGAAAAACATGGCCTTATTTATTTTTCCATATTTAAAGAGTGACTAACATACACATGACCTCTAAAAGCTTAAAACGATCCTGATTGTCACCATCTTTTTCTCCTTCTTTCATTTTTGTGAAAATGAGTTATTCATTTGTCAATAGTCATCGTTCATGTGATTTTATTGTTTATGTTAGTGTGAGTCTTCATCTTTCGTAGATAACTTTGCTTGCATCCAGCATCTTTTCATATTGGATGTACTTTTTTTCGCTCGAGCAAACTCTTAAAGTTATTGGCCTGATCAGTATTTACACTCTCAACAAACTTTGACCCATTATAAAGTCCCAAATTGAATATATAATTTTTTATTATTTTTCATCAATGTCTTTTACTAGGATAATTCCCTTGTTAAGTTTGTCAATATGGGATCTAAGTTGTTCATCCATCTTTCTGCTTGAATCCTCATGATCTTTACTGATTTTGATTACCTCTAGGATTTTATTAAATGGGTCACGAAGCGTTTCTAAAACTCGCCCCTAGAGTTGATAGGATCGATTCCAAGACCATTAAACCACATCATCACTCCCTCCTTCAACGTAAGGATGAGCAACTTGCATTTCCACAGCCAATTGGCTCATTGGAAAGTGAGGATGGTGTTCATAATTTTAACGTGGTTGTTAGGGTTCATCGTCCCATCACATGATCTCATTCCCAAAGGTTTCTACATATCCATACAGATGGAATAGTCGTTAATCCAAAGGGTGAAAAAATTATTCCTTGTGGTATCCTTTTTCCCCCAAGATATTTCTAAAAAAGATGATGGCGTTGATCTTGTATTTCATTTAATGTGACGTCAATGGTGCCTATAAGGCTTCAAAGGTGGGTGTCTTTGCGATGATGTGGACCTGGGTTTTCCAAGAACGACCCTATTACAAGTGAATCTTGAGGGAGTGGAACATTTGTGAGGAGGTGGTCCTCGATTTTATCACCGAATAAAGTATTTTCTAGTTCTATTTGTTTATGCTCAAATTTACCCTTATGGGAATCATGAACGTTGCATAAGGAGAGTTTTCAGACTCCCGACTCATATCAATCTCTCATTTTATTGATTGATGAAGTCTATTTGTCTCTAGATTGAGAGCAAGAGGCTTCTTAGAAAATTGTTTATTTTTTGGTGTATCATTGGAATTCTCGTGACCTCTTCGACTTGGCGATGACCCATAGATTGTTGTAGAGATGTTAACGTTCCATGGGATTATAGGATGAAGCACTTAACGTGTATTGAGGCTCCTTGTTTACCTTCACGGCCTCTTTAGCAATAATAAGGCTAGATAAGAAGATTTTTTATAGTTATGAATCATTTGTGTTTGAGATTCACCATCAGATTATGGTTAGATAGAATCATGGAAATTTTGGAAGAAGATTCCCGCATACGACATCAAATGATCTGATAAAGATCTTCTTATTCAAGTGTTGTAGACGACAAAGAATATGATAAGGAATTATGGAATGATCTTCTAACTTTGTTCAGAGTTAAGGGTGTACATGCAAATATTTTATGCTCAAGTCAATGATGGTTGTGAGTGTGAAATTTTATGTTATAGAATAATGTGTATATGTGACTAATTTGTAGTTTATTTTTTATAGTGAGCTTTTAGGGCTTTAAGGTTATAGAACCTTCTCAATAGTCACAATTGTCTTAGAGAATATATGTAAGAAGATCCCTTTGAGTACAATTTACGATTTTTATGATTTTGCCAACTCTAATCAAATGTATTTCTAAGACATGTCCATTTGAAGTTTCTGAATTACTAGAACCTCCTTAGATGCCCGGTCGGCCTAAATTTGATATGATGTTAAAGTATGACCACTATGTAGATCCAAGACTCTTAATTCGTCTTTCAAATATGAATAATATCAATTGTATCATAGAACCATTAGATAAATCTAATGGTTCTTATAGATAGACCGCTTTCAGTGTCCGATGTTGATGGACATAGACCTATTGAGCCTTAACCTAGACCATAATAATGGTCGGGTGCAATATTTCTACATTTTTTTCATATGAATATTTTTTTTTTGCAAAAAATAAAAAAATAGTTTTAATCCTTTTATTTAAAAAGAATGACATACTAGTTTTTTTTTTCTTTTTTACAAATTGATGAAAAAAAATGATAAAAAATCTCTTTCAACTTAATAAACTCATTGAAATAATGAGTTCGAACTTAATTTTTCCTCACTCGAAAAATTAGTTTTTACACTTACGTAGAGTGAATATTCTCTTTATAAAATATTAATAAATGAAAGATGTATTCCCCTTAGCTTAGTGTAACAAGTAAGTGTAGCTATCCTGTAGATATTACTCGTAAAAACAAATACCCACGTTTATTAAATGTTACGTACTTGCCAAAGTTATACTTATAAGTTAACTATCAACTTTTCCTCTATAATAAAAAGTCAACTATCAACCTACTCTCCGTCACACAAAAAACTATTAACCTGTTTTTTTCACAAAAAACAAAACTATCAAACCCTACAAGTAGTCACTAATGCAATTAATAATGTTATTGTAATATGATATCAGCTACTTGTTAGTAATAAAATATCACCCTCGTGTATCACGATACTCGCAAACAACCATGTTTCTAGCGTGCCTTGTCATCGTTAAAATAAAAAATAATAATAACAACACTAAACTATAATTGTTATTAATTCAAATAATAATAATAATAATAATAATAATAATAATAATAATAATAATAATAATAATAATAATAATAATAATAATAATAATAATAATAATAATAATAATAATAATAATAATAATAATAATAATAATAATAATAAAAAGTAGCAATAATAATAATAATAATAATAATAATAGTAATATTATTAATAATAATAAATAATAATAATAATAATTAATAATAATAATAATATTATAGTAGATTATCTTTTTTTATCTTTGTTTACAAGCTCTTTTAATTTGTGTAGAGCTGCGTTTAATCACTACATTGACCTCCCCTTGAGATTTACTAAAATGACACCGACACTCTCTCTAATTTTAACTATGCATTAATCTCTCCTGAGTTTAGTTATACCAACAAAATGTTTTAGTGACTAATAAAAACTGTAGCTAAATGTTATTTATATCTATAGTTTTTTACTGTTACTAAAAATTAGAGGGGGTGTCAATATTGTTTTAATAAAACTCAAGGGAGGTTAGTGCATAATTTAAAATTAGAGGGGGTGTTTGTGATGTTTTAATAAACCTCAAGGGAGGTGAGTGTAATTTTCCCTATTTGTTTTTTTATTTTATTTGATTTATTTTCTGATTTCATATTTTCAAAAAAAATTGTGGACACTTAATTTAATTTTATTTGATTTTTAGTTGTATTTTTAAATTTTTATAATAGAGTAAAATTTGGAAATGCATATCCGAAACTAGTTTTTCCGTAAAAAATAAGATATTTTCAAAGATGCAAATCTTAAAATACTTTTTTCATAAATTTTTATAGAATAAGGGTGTGTTCGGAGATGCATATCCGAAAATAAATGACATTTTTAAAATTTCGTCAAAGACCTACAAAAATATAAAGGCGGAAAAAGAAACTCTCATCAAAAAATGATAATAAAAATAATGAACTAACAACATATGTACCCTTCTTTAGTGATACATGTTATTTGACAATTCATAAAAAAGAAAGAGACATTAGCAGGCATGAAGAAGTAACGTGTGTAGGGAGATTAATACTAATACTAGTACCATTTTTCAATGTTTTGAATAATCAAGGAAAATACACTTAAATTACGAGTTTCATGTATTAGAGTCTATTGTGATCGGACCTCTTAGTGTTGGCGAGTTTTGATAGGAGGTTGGCTTTAGCGATTTGCTCTCTAGGCATATATACTACTTCAAAAAACTTAAAGTGCTTTGTCAAATTATGTACCTTCTAAAGTTATTTGATGAGCTTAGCTTCCTTTGTTTGGTATTCCTGACGATTTGACTAGTGACTATTCGAGAGTCCTTATGTGCTTTAAGGTTGGAAGCGTCCATTTCTCTGGATAAATTCATTTTGATGATAAAGGCTTCATACTCTACCTTATTATTACTGACTCAAAACTCAAACCTTAGGAATTGCTCAATAAGAATGTTACTCGGGCCTTCTAACACTACCTCGACATCATTTCCCTTCAAATTCGAAGCGTCATCCAATGACAATGTCCACGTATGAGGAACTTCCACGTCAAATGGAGGGAGGAATTTCACTATGAAATCTCCCAACACTTGATACTTGATGTTGCCTCTAGGTAGGAAGTGGATATCATACTCTGATAGTTCAATAGACCATGACACCATCTTTTCTACTAAGACAAACTTATTCAATATCTAGAGAATGAGACAATTCGTCTTCATCATCATCCTATTCCCATAGAAGCAAGGATTCAACTTTCTCGTTGTTATCAAGACTTCCAACACTAGTCTCTCCATTTTCTGGTATCTCAGCTTCGCACCCTTGAACACTTTGCTGACAAAACATACTAGTTATTCAATGCCTATTGAATGAGCATTGAGCTTAGTACCTTGTCTGTTACCGATAAATAGAGGAATAATGGTGTGCTCTTTACTTGGTGTATTGGCGAAGTCTCTATAAAGGTTTTCAATCTTGTGAACGCTTCTTCACATTCTTATGTATATTCAAACTTTTCCTTCTTCCTCGGGCTGACAAAGAAATGGAAAGCCTTGCCCCTCCATAAGAAATGAATATGGAGAGGACAGTTAGGCGCTCTGAGAGATGGTGGACTTCCTTAATTTTTGTGGGACTCCTCATGTTAATGATGGCTAGGAATTTATAAGGATTTTCCTTTAATTCACTTTTGGTAACATGAAACCCAAAAACTTACTTGCTTGAACCTAAATGAGCATTTGGAGGGCTTGAGGCGCATGTTATGCTCCCTGACCAACTTCAAAATATCATCCAGATCACTATAATGATTACCTTTTACTGAGGTATTCATGGCTATTTCGTCTATGTAGAACTCCAGGTTGTGTCATATCTAATTAGAGAAAATGGCATCCATCAACCTTTGATAAGTAGCGTATGTATTCTTTAACCCAAAATGTGTGACA